ATATATATATATATATACATATATATATATACATATATTTTACCTCTTACCTCCTGATGAGTTTCCTTGTAATGTTCCTTTGATTTATTATTTATATATTTTTAAAAGAAATTCAGTTATATACATTTAGGTTTTTTTTTCATTTTTGGAAAATTTAATTTTCGGCTCCTGTGTAATTTCGCATCAGTCTACAAATCAGCTTTTTTATAAACTCCTAAAGGCAATTTTTCAAAAGAGATGTCCATATTCCAAATACATTACAAGTAAAATTAAAGTAATCGAACTGATAGATTGTGCATTACACCAGACCAAAATGGACTTAATAATTCCAAATATATATGTGGTGTTTCAGGTGGGCGTGGCATCGGCCCAGATCCTCGTCTCTCCCGAGTCTCGCCAGTGCAGAGATCTGGTATGTTGGATTTTCATTTTTTAAAAAAATATCTTTTCTTTTTATGTATCACGATTTCTGTTTGGAAATATTTTTTCCTTCTCTCTTATCTCTCTTAGTCGGTTCTCTATCTCTCATGCTTCTGTATCGGTCTCGGTCTCTGTCTCTTTCTGTCTGTCTCTCTCTCTCTCTCTCTCTCTCTCTCTCTCTCTCTCTCTCTCTCTCTCTCTCTCTCTCTCTCTCTCTCTCTCTCTCTCTCTCTCTTACTCCATCCCTCCCTCCCCCTCTTCCTCTCCCTACTTACATCTCTCTACATCTCCCTCCTGCCTCTTCCACTCTCTTTCCAACAATAATAACTCATGTAAAAAACTTGAGTATGAGAAAATACACAGATACATACACACGAACAATTCCGTTAGTAAAAAGGGTTTACTAACACTTCACAACTACTTACAGGCTGCCATGGACGAGGCCATACCAAGCGGCAACCTGATGGAGTATACTGAGGGAGAAGTAAGTACACTTAACTGTTTATAAGTGTGTTAGTATCCTTATCAACTATCTATTTATCTTTATATTTGATAATCACATGATTCGTTTTTTTTTATTCTTATCAATTATTTATTAATTTATTAACTATCTATTTATCTCTACATTTGATAATACCTTGATTCGTTTTTGTTATTCTTTTCAATTGTTTATTCATTTAAGACTAAGAATTTTTTTATTATATATTTTTTTTCGTTATGGAAGATCGGTTGTGATTTATTTGAGTTGTCTTGATTACTTGTTTAGTTATTGACTGGAATGTTCTTGTCAGTCTGTTTTGTTCTTACTTATTGATTTGTTGATTCGTTTACATTTATTAATCTTTGTCTCTTTAATTACTGTGTTTATCAAACTATCTATCTATTCAACTAACAATTCTTTAGCAATTCTTTATATTATTTGTATCATATATACATATATATATATATTTTTACTTTGACTTTGATTTTTTTTTATTTTCTCTCTCTCTCTCTTTATCATACACTTTATCCTTCGTTTCCTCTTTGATATCCAGGTAATGGAAGTGAAGGCAATTCTTTATATATTTTTTTGAGAGCAATTCTTTATATATTTTTTATACTATATATACATACTTTTTTTCTCTCTTTGATTTTGACTTTTTATATTTTCTCTCTCTCTCTTTATCCTTCGTTTCCTTTTCGATCTCCAGGTGATGGAAGTGAAAATTCCCAAGACGGGAGTTATATATACATACTTTTTTTATACTTTGACTTTTTAATATTTTTTCTCTCTCTCTATCATTCTTTTTATCCCTCGTTTCCTCTTCGCCCTCCAGGTGATGGAAGTGAAGGGCCCAGATTCCGATGGCGGGGAGCAATTCTTTATATATTTTTTATACTATATATACATACTTTTATTTCATTTTTTTACTTTGACTCGGGTTTTTTAAATATTTTCTCCTCCTTTCTCTCTATCATTCTCTTTATCCTTCGTTTCCTCTTCGATCTCCAGGTGATGAAAGTGAAGATTTCCAAGACGGGAATATATATACATTTTTTTTTTTTTTTTTTTTTTTTTTTTTTTTTTACTTTGACTCGGGTTTTTAAAATATATTTTTTTCTCTCTCTTTATCATTCTCTTTATCCCTCGTTTCCTCTATATTATATCTACATATATATATATATATATATATATATATATATATATATATATATATATATATGTATATAAATATTTTTTACTTTGACTGACCTTTTTTATATGTTTTCTCTCTCTCTTTATCATTCTCTTTATCCCTCGTTTCCTCTTCGCCCTCCAGGTGATGGAAGTGAAGGCCCAGATCCCAATGGCGGGGAGCGGCGTCTTCGAGTTCTACCTTTGCCCCGAAACTGACGAAGGCGATGAAGAATGTCTTGTGAAGTAAGATATTGTGGACATTTTAATTTTTCATTTTCATTTTTATTTTTTATTTTTTTATTTTTTTTTTCATTGGTTTTGTTTGAATTTTGTTTTTTTTGTTTCTTTTATTTCGTTTGGCTTTATTATTTTTATTTTTTGGTTTGTCGTTTTTTTTTTATTGGTTTTATTTAATTTTGTTTTTATCTCTTTTTCATTTCGATTGGCTTTTTATTTTTAGTTTTGTTTCGTCTATTTCTATTTCGTTTGGCTTTTTATTTTTATTTTTTTCGTCTTTTTGGGGGGTTTTGTTTAATTTTGTTTTTTGTCTCTTTCTATTTCGTTCGGCTTTTTATTTTTATTTTCGTTTCATTTTTTTTATTGGTTTTAATTAATTTTGTTTTCTCAATTTTTATTTCGTTTGTTTTAATTTTATGCCTTTTTAATTTTTTTTTATTTCATTGTCTCCCCTTGTTTTATTTTATGTCAGTCTGTCTTTTGTTTCATTTCGTTTTCTTTCATCTCCTTCGTTTTATTTCATTTTATTCTCTCTCTAATTTTATTTCCTTTCATTCCATTCATTTAATTTCATTCACTCTCCGCCTCCACCTCTCAACCCATCCACCTTTCCACCTCTCCACCTACTCACCTATCCACCTACTCACTTATCCACCTATCCACCTCCTCACCTCTCCACCTACTCCCCTACCCACCTCCCCAGCTCTCCACCTACCCACCTATCCATCTACCCACCTCCCCACCTCTCCACCTCCCCACCTCCCCACCTCTCCACCTACTCACCTCTCCACCTCTCCACCTATCCACCTCTCCACCTACTCACCTCTCCACCTCCCCACCTCTCCACCTATCCACCTCCTCACCTCTCCACCTACTCACCTCTCCACCTCTCCACCTCTCCACCTACTCACCTCTCCACCTCTCCACCAGAATGCCCCTGAACATCGCAGGAGGAATGGGCAAGAAATTCGACTTGGCCAAGATACCCGCATCGGATGAATACACTATTCCTTTGGAAATACCGAAGGATGTAACTTGTGAGAGATGCACGCTGTTGGTGAGTAGAAAGCGTTGTTTTGTTTGTTGGTTTTGTTGGTTTTGTTGTTGGTTTTGTTGTTTGTTTGTTGTTGTTGGTTTTGTTTTTGATGTTGGTTTTTGTTGTTGGTTTGTTGTAATTGTTGTTGTTGGTTTTGTTGTTGATTTGTGGTTGTTGTTGTTTTTGGTTTGTTGCTGTTGTTATTGTTGTTTTTGTGTTGTTCTTGTTCATGGGGTCATTGTCTGACTGTGTGGTTTTTGTGCTGAGCGTGGTAAGTATAAAGACTTGCCGTTGTTGTTATTGTTGTTTTTGTCTTACTGTTTGAGTGTGTGGTTATTATGCTGATTGTAGTAAGTATAAGCACTTGTTTGTTGTTGTTTTTGCGTTGTTATTGTTATTGGGTTCAGTGTTTGCTCTTGTGTTTATACTGAACGTGAGTGTTATAAATATATAAATATATTTTTTTTGGGGGGGAGAATAAAAAAATAGACTTTTAATAATAATATCAACAATACTGATAGGAAAATGACAACGATAACATCAATATCATTATCGTTGGTATCATCATGATTACTCTTATCATTATTATTACTCTTACTACTACTATTCAATTAATTAACGATAATATTATCATTGTTATCCCTCCTAACATTACTACATCCCTACTACTTACATACACTACCTATAAATCACTTAAATGTTAATCTTAATCTTATATATAGATATATATTCACTATTCCTTTTTTTTTACACAGTGGATGCTGATTCAGAACTTCTGCCCTGAAGATACGACTGAGCCCTGTGTATCGACGACTGCGACTATGTGTGCTGACGTTACTATTGTGGAGAAAAAGTAAGTTGTGTGTGTTTGTTTGTGCGTGTGTGTGTGTGCGTGTGTATGTGTGTTTTAGTTTGTTTGTGTGTGTGTTTGTGTGTGTGTTTGTGTGCGTGTGTGTTTGTTTGTGTGTTTGTCTATGTGTGTGTTAGCGTAGGTTTGTATGTTTATTTGTGTTGGTGTGTGTGTGGTTTGTACGTTTGTGTTATTGAATGTGTGTGTGGTTTGTTTATTTGTTAGTGTTTGTGTGTATATGTACCTATTATTAATTTGACACAATACATGCCAGTGACTAAAGTTGATTTTCTTCTTTTTTTTCGTTGCAGGAAGCAACAGAAGCGTGATTTTGGCAATTTTTTCAAAGGAGTTTTCCATCACGCTATCAACGGAGCCGCCAAGGGAATCGCCGGATGTGGAAAGTAAAAAAAAAGAGCAAAGAAAAACAAAAAAACAGAAAAAAAGTGTAACTTGATTTTTTCCTGTTTTTTTTCTTTATTTTCTTAGGCGGGGGAGGAGGGAATCTCTTTGGAAAAAAAATCTCTTTTTCCTTCGAAAATAAGTGTTGTTTTTCACTATTTTCCTTCTTTTTCGTCACTTCTTTATTTACATTCATCTTCTCTTCCTCCTTTCTCTACTATCATCTTTTCCTCTTTTTCTTTTTGTTTCGATTTTGTATTGCCTTTAGGGTAAACTATCTTAAAAGTCATAAATCTATTATTTTTTTCATTGCAAGGAGTAACAAAAAAAATGTTATGTAATGAATATGTTAAATGTGAAAAAAAATACAATAGAGATAATAAAGTTTATTGAATGAA